CAACCAGGAATAGGCAAGTCGATCAGAAAGGTCGGCAGTTCAGCGGTTCGAATTCCTAGGGCTGCATAATGGAGTGAGCTTCTGTTACTTGTCCCAGCTTCTGCCAAACTAGCAGTTCGAAAGCATGTAAAAATGTAAGTAGAAAAATAGGAACCATCTTTGGTGGGAAGGAAACAGTGTTCCGTGCGCCTTCGGCATTGGGTCATGCTGGCCATATGACCACAGAGATGTCTTTGGACAGCACTGGCTCTTTGGCTTTGAAATGGAGATGAGCACCGCCCCCTAGAATTGGGAATGGCTTACACATATGTGCGAGGGGAACCTTTACCTTTTTAGTCAACAAAGTCAGGATGATGCTTACATAGATTGCACACTCAATGGGGATACTATACTTCAGTTGCATTCTGTTGATTTTGTTTTAATCCTATCTTATGGAGGCCTCGGTCCTCAGTCCGTGATTCAAAGCCCCGAGAGTAGGGGTGGAATCCAGCAGGTTCTGACAGGTTCTGGAGAACTGGTAGCAGAAATTTTGAGTAGTTCGGAGAACCGGCAAATGCCACCTCTGGCTGGCTCCAGAGTAGGGTGGGAATGGAGATTTTGCAGTATCCTTCCCCTGCCAGGCCCACCAAGCCACGCCACAGAACCGGTAGTAAAAAAAATTGAATTTCGCCATTGCCTAAGAGCCAGCAAAACCCCTGCGGGATTGGTGGCAGAGGGTGTCAAAATACTGAAATGCGTGTCTTTTAAAGAAGCCTTCTTTTAAAGTTAGCCAAGATGATTAATGCCTTTTTTTTTTCTCCCCTGAAACTTTGGGCGACAATGAAAACAACGTGGAACACATTGATTGTTTCAGCCCAATTTGGCCTGGGAGGATAGGCTGCCTTCCAAGCCCTGACCTCATTTTCCATGTTTGTCCCAACAGCTTCCAACACATCGAGAGCAGGCAAGAAAGGATAAAGAATGTAGGCTGCAAACCCTCAAGGCTTTGTTGTAGGGGGAAAATCCTACACAATTCCTGAGGATCCCTGCTAAGCCAGCTTTTTCTCTCTTTGCTGCAGATTCAGGAGACAGCCTGTCCCACACCACGGCTTCCCCGCAGCCTTCTCCGGCCATTTCTGCCCACGCGTTGAGGAGTGCCAACCCGTCTCTTACCTCCGACCACACCAGCACCGATGCCACAGGAGCCGAGGAGACGGCCAGCGAGTCGGAATCTGTCTTTCTGCCCGACTATCTCTTCTTATCCAACTGTGAGACCGGAAAACTCAGCCACGTTAGGTAGCCTTATGCGGTTGGGTACCAAATTTATTTATTTACCTACTTTATTGATTAAATGTATTTGCCGCCCATCTTCTAACAAAACAATTCTGGGGGGGTAGAACGGATGAGCTGCCTGAGGCTTAAACCGTGATTGGTGGCTTAGCAAAATTGATCAGCTCAGCCACTAGAGTTTCATCATTTAACCACAGTGTGACTCCATCTGTCCTGAGCAAAACGTGATTTGGTGTCGCTGTGTTTTGGAGCACGGCAAGGGTTTTCTTCCATTTTCCAGCGTGAGCATGCGCTCACCGGAAAATGAACTTCCGGTTTCCAGCGCATGCATGCGCAATGACCAGCTGGCCAGCGTGCATACTCACACTGGAAAATGGAAGAGCAGCTCTTCCAATTTCTGGCACTGCCGCATGGACAAAGTCCAGCTGATTGTCACGCATGCATGCGTGCCAGAAACCCATAAGAGGAACAGGTGATGCCACATGTGCCTAGCGACAAGGCTCCATGTGCCACTTTGGGCACGTGGGCCAAAGGTTCGCCATGGCGGTTCTAGCAGCTGTCCTTCCTGCAGTCACACAAACCCATTTTGGGCCTTTGTCACTTGGCCCGCATTTATGGCTGTTGACAGCCTTGTGCAATCACATGACTCAAATTATTTTTGGGGGGTGGGGGGGGGGTTGCTGAAAACTAGACATTTGCTTCTGGTTTTCAGTTGAAAACATCCCATAACAAATAATGGGTTTGCCTAATGACAAGATTCACTTGGCCTCTTTTAAGGAGTGGAGACGTCAACTCCCAGAATTCCCCAGCCAGAAATCTGGATTTCAACATACTGGCTGGGGAATTCTGCGTATCGAAGTCCACACATCTTAAAGTGACTTAGATACAGAAACCTTGGTTTAATTATGTTGAGAGAGCGCCATTTTGCCAGATTTGACACTACGTGGGTCCCAATGGAGAGAAATGAGTTGAGCTGAAAAAGTAACTAGATCAGTGATGGCGAACCTTTTTGGCACCGAGAGCCAAAACTGGAATGCGTGTGCAGGTGTGTGCGCCGGATTGCTGGAAACCCGAAAGCCAGTTAGCCGGTGCACATGTACAGGCCATCCAGCCAGCTGGTCTTTGGGTTTTTGGCACGAGCATGCATGCACCCGCCAGCTTGTCTTCACATGCGCCACAGTACTGAAAACCAGAAATGCCTGCTTTTGGGGCATTTTTCGGGCTGTTTTCTGGCTGGAAAAAAGGCCCCAAAAGGCCTAGAAAACACTCTGAAAAATGGCCTGGCTTTTGCCCATTTTCTGGTGCTCTGGTGCCAGCATACACCAGCTGTCCCGCATGTATACCCACAGAGAAGGCTCTGCGTGCCACCTGTGGCATGCGTGCCTTAGGTTAGCCATCAAGGAAGTAGATGAAGACAGAAAAATAAAATTAGGCGTCACGAAAGGCACAACCTCTGAAGGATCAACTTGCCTTCAAAACATCCCTGCTTTCTGGGCCCCAAATTCCTCATGTTATCTCTGAGTTTTCAAGTTCCTTCCTTACTGGTGAATATAAAGTACCAATCTCTAACGTAATTACCCGCCATCCTCGACTTACAACAGTTCCTTTAGTGACTGTGCAAAATTACAGTGGCACTGAAAAAAAGGGACTTGTGGCCGTTTTTCACATTTAACGACGGTCAAAATCAGACACTTGGCAACCGACTCACATTTATGACAGTTGCAGTGTCCCAGGGTCATGGGCTCCCCTTTTGCGACCTTCTGACAAGCAAAATCAATGGAGAAGCCAGATTCACTTAACAACCGTGATCCTAACTTAACAACTGCAGTGATTCACTTAACAACAAAATATCTAAAATGGGACAAATCTTGTTGAACAAATCTCTCACTTAGCAACATAAATTTGGGGCTTAATTGCGGTCATAAGTCAAGGACTGCCTGTATATGAGGGAAACCCTTGGCCATCCTGTCAGGTGAGTATGATAGAAACAACACACCCATTCCTTTGCATTGTTTCACTTCCACACCACAGGAATTGAACATGCCACTGAGCCATTGTGGTTGTCAGGCTTGGAAGCCATTGTGGGATAGGGCCGTCTAGCCTGCCACATTTTCAAAGATAGTCTGCTATGTGAAACTGGAAGTGGGGGGATTGTATGGAGCTTGGGAGATGTGTAGCCATAATAACATTCTTTCTCAGAAAGTCAAGGTCACCTTATCCCTGCCCCTGGATGGATGTGGATGGGAGGAATCTATCTTCGTGGCAATGATTGATTGGGCCATGGGATGGACCTGTGGGTGCTGGGCAGGGTCTTGAACTTTCAACTGGGTGGGGAAAACCTGGAAGCTTCCAGATTCGGGTTTTCTCAGATGTGCCAACATGACATCTCTAATAAATTGGAATTTTGAGGAACCTCTTGCCTTGGATTCTAATTTTATTGAGGATGCTATCAGGGAACCCCGACAGTGTTGGGAGGAGGGTCCAGGGATTACACCTGTCTCTGAGTTGGTAACACTTGCTTCTCTTCCCAGGTGCCACAGTTGGTCCAATTCTGACCGCTCTCTGGAGAGGACGTTATCCGATGATGTCTTCTTTGACTTTGTGGCTTCTCAGTCCTCGCTGTGCTTACAGCTCTCTGGTGGTCTGCATGGAATCCTTCCAAGAAACCCAGATTCAAGCGGGCCTCCTTCTAGTGACTTCTCTTCTTCCTCACCCTTGTCAGGCCCTCCTGCAACACCAACCATCCTAGCAGAAAAAAGCCAGAACACTCTTCCCTATGCCTTCACCGAGATTTTGGCTAAGACTCCCCCTCCCAGGCCACCAAAGCCATCACATTTGCCAGACAGAAGAGCCGAAGAGCAGGCTGGCGGGGTCCTTCAGAATGGCCATGCAAGGATCTCCAGCTCTCCAGGGATCTTCGTTCCAAGGAGGATCTCCCTCTCTGGATTGGACAGCATGAAGAGTTGGAGAGGTAAGGGCCAATTTGGAGATCCCACAGTTGGATTATTAAAATATATATCTTCTCTGTCCCCCAACATGATGGTGATCTTATCCATTCAACCATGTCCAACTATTGGCGATTCTATGGGCCAAATCTCTCTATGTCTTCTGATCTTGCACTGCTTCTTTGAGTTGTTCTATGCTCTGGCTGGTGTCAGCTTTGATGGTGTCCATCCACCATGTTCTTTGATGGCCTGTTTCCTTTTACCATGCAGGATGTGGTGGCTGAGTGGCTAAGACACTGAGCTTATTGATCGAAAGGTCAGCAGTTCAGCAGTTCGAATCCCTAGCACCACGTAATGGAGTGCGCTCCCGCTACTTCTGCCAACCTAGCAGTTCAAAAGCACATAAAAATGCAAGTAGAAAAATAGGAACCACTTATGGTGGGAAAGTAACAGTGCTCCATGCGCCTTCGGCATTGAGTCATGCCGGCCATATTACCACGGAGACATCTTCGGACAGCGCTGGCTCTTTGGCTTTGAAACGGAAATGAGCACTGCCCCCTAGAGTCAGGAATGACAAGCACATTTGTGCGAGGGGAACCTTTACCTTTACCTTCCTTTTACCACTAACTCTTCCAAGCATCATTGCTTTCTCCAGTGAATTCCTCTGGGTGACATGGCCAAAGTAACTGAGATGCAGTTTCGTGATTTTGCCTTCCAGTATCATGTCTGGTTGTCACGAGCTCCATATTTGTGTCTTGGTCACCTTTGTGTCCAAGGAATACGCAGGAGCTTCTCCAACACTCCAACTCAAATGATGTTTTTCCTCTCTTACTTTTCTAAGGACCAACTTTTTTAAGGTCCTCCAAAAGACAAACTGTAACATTCTCCCCACTTTCATCTTTTATGGACCCCAATTAAGGAAGGCTGATTGGGAGACCAGACAAAGGCTTTATATAGTCAGCATAACAAACTAATCGCATAGGTTGGGTTCTGTCAGGTGCAAGCAGACAGAACTATTCATGAATGATCTCAAACAGAAGCTTCATTGTTAGCCACCATTGTTACAAGAATCTCCCTAGACTGACTGCTTTCCCTTGGGATCAGTCAGATCAGGCTTCAGGATTCTGGAAGAGGTCAGGCCTGTGATGCTTTCTGCAGTGCAAGGACTCCAAGCTTTGTTGCTGTTAGTTGCAAAGTCGTGTCCTACCCATTGTGACCTCATGGACAATGTACCTCCAGGCCTTTTTGTCCTCTCCCATCCTCTGGAGTCCATTTAAGCTCACGCCTACTGCTTCAGTGACTCCATCCAGCCACCTCATTCTCTGTAGTCCCTTTCTTCTTTTGCTCTCCATCTTTCCCAGCATTAGGCTCTTTTCTATTGAGTCCTTCCTTCTCATTAGGTGGCCAAAGTATTTGAGTTTCCTCTTCAGGATCTGGCCTTCTAAAGAGCAGTCAGGGTTGATCTCCTCTAGGACCGACCTATTTGATCGCCTTGCAGTCCAAGGGACTCTCAGGAATCCTCTCCAGCACCATTGTTCAAAGACCTCCATTCTTTGGCGCTCAGCCTTCCTTATGGTCCAACCTTCACAGCCATAGCTGTGAAGCTATGAACCTTCACTCCAAACTTAGCCACCTCTTAATGCAGCCTTCCAGACTAGACCACGGGTTCAAAAAACATTGCCCCAAACATATGAGTTAACTTGTGATGCAAAATGTCCCAGCAACTCAGCCAATTTAACACAGGAGCAGGCTTTATATGTATACCTTTTTAAAAACAAAAAGGAAGATGTATGTTAAAATTATTAATATGAAAGATGTTTTTAAATGAAATTACTAATACCTTAGTAATTAGATGCTGAAATACACCATGCAAATGAGATCAAGAGTGCGGAAGAGATTAGAGAGGCAAGTGGAGAGGGTTAGGCGAGAGTAGCGGGGGGAAGAAGAGAAGAGAAAGAAGGAGTGGAAAGAGGACAAGGAGAGAGGAAGGAGAAGTAGAGAAGGATGACAGAGGGAAGAAAGGAAGTAGGGAGGAGGAGAGAGGGAGAAGAAAGTGATGGATAGGGTATAAATATGGTGTACGGAGAGCAGAAGAGCCGATGATAGTTTGGGGGGGTTGATGGTAAAATGAATTGACATAATATTGAATAATATAAAATAGTGTTGATTATGTAATGGTATACATGTAGTTATTTGTATGAAGATAAAAAAATTAAAAAAACTTTTAAGAAAACAGGGGCAAGCAAGCAGTGGCAATTAGTCTTGAAGGCTGCCTGCTAACTTTGAATGACAGGGAGCCTAACATCCAACTGTCCTCAGAGCCTATGAAATTCCATCTCATAACAGTACAGCCAACATGGTCATCAATTATCAGTCATGGAGGAGATCCACCCCTGGATTAGGACATCTGCCATGGAGGAAATAAGTGAGACAGTGCCCGGCTTTTAAAAGGTCCATAGGGACTTTGCATCTATTTTCTTTTTCTTTCTTTTCTTTCCTCTTTTTCCTCCCCCCTTACGCTGTCTCTGCACGGATATTTGGATCATGTTTCTAACCCTTGTATAGTAAAGAGCCAGCCTGCTTATCAGTGTCCTGAGCGATTCTTGGAAGCTTTTGAGAGCAACACCCATCCTTGGAAATGTTATTCTTCTTAGTCATGACTCTTGAGTTGTGTTGGAAAGGGGAGGGGTTTGCTGGTCGAAGCATTAAAAACAAACCCATTCACACATACACCGATGAATTTTTCCAGATTTTACTCTTTCACGGTAGACTCAACTCTAGCTCAACTTCAATTGCATAATACGTTCTCCGTCCTTATTGCATGCAGGTAGTCCTCGCAGTTCATTTCATGACCGTTCAAAATTACAACTGAAAAAAGTGACTTATGACCATTTTTCACACTTAACAACCATTTGCAGCAGCCCCATGGTCATGCAATCAAAATTCAGACACTTGGCAGCTGGTTCATATTTATGACGGTTGCAAATACCCCCGGGGTTATGGGATCACCTTTTGTGACTTTCGGACAAGCAAAGTCAATGGGGGAAGCCTGATTCACTTAACAACCGTGTTACTTAACCGCAGTGATTCACTTAAAAAGGTGAAAAATGGTCATAAGATGGGGCAAAATTCATTTAACAATTGTCTTGCTTGGCAACAGAAATTTTGGGCTCAATTGTGGTCGTATGTTGAGGAGATATTAGCATATATGTTATATCCAATAACCTTAGAAATTTAACAGGTTAGCTGAGGATATATTGTGATTCTAGTTAGGGTTGACATATAGCGAACTAGGATTGAACAAGCAATAATGGTAAACTGAGCCGAGGTGGCGCAGTGGTTAGGGTGCAGTACTGCAGGCCACTTCAGCTGACTGTTATCTGCAGTTCAGCGGTTCAAATCTCACCGGCTCAAGGTTGACTCAGCCTTCCATCCTTCCGAGGTGGGTGAAATGAGGACCCAGACTGTGGGGGCAATGTGCTGACTCTGTAAACCGCTTAGAGAGGGCTGAAAGCCCTATGAAGCGGTATATAAGTCTAACTGCTATTGCTATTACCTTGCATTAAAGGTAAAGGTGGCTCAGTGGCTAAGATGCTGAGCTTGTTGATCAGAAAGGTTGGCAGTTTGGCGGTTTGAATCCCTAGTGCTGCATAATGGAGTGAGCTCCTGTTACTTGTCGCAGCTTCTCCCAACCTAGCAGTTCGAAAGCAAGTAAAAAATGCAGGTAGAAAAATAGGGACTACTTTTGGTGGGAGAGTAGCAGCATTCCGTGCACCTTCGGCATTTAGTTATGCCGGCCACATGACCACGGAGACGTCTTTGGACAGTGCTGGCTCTTTGGCTTTGAAACAGAAATGAATCCTGCCCCCTAGAGTCAGGAACAATTAGCACATATGTGAGAGGGGAACTTTTACCGTTTACCTAATTGGATAGAAATCAAATTTCTTCCAAATTACATATAGTACCACTGCTTAAAATAAGCTTTTTTTCCTTCTTCATAAAATATTGTGCTTTTCTTAATTTAGCAGTTTCTTCAGTCCTGATTAATTGCCTTCTGCTCTTTGTTTTGCAGCAGACTTGGAAGAAAATTCCTTACAGCGCAGGGATAAGAGGTTGAGCTTGAATTTGGTAAGTGTTGCTTTCTCTCCTACAAACACTTTGCATTGTGGTTTTGGCAGGGGAGGCTTTATAAAATCTGCACCAGCTGTCATATAAGTGTAAAAGAAGAAAGAAACATCCCCTGATATGAACTATAACCAACATTGTCCCAAAGGTGGTTTTTTTTTTCATGAAGCCTTGGTGGCACAGTGGTTAGAGTGCAGTACTGTAGGCTCCTTCTGCTGACTGCCATCTGCCTGCAATTTGGCAGATCGAATCTCACCAGGCTCAAGGTTGACTCAGCCTTCCATCCTTCTCAGGTGGGTAAAATGAGGACCCAGATTTTGGGGGACAATATGCTGAGACTGTAAATCTCTTAGAAAGGGCTGTAAAGCACTGTAAAGCAGTATATAAGTCTAAGTGCTAGTGCTAGTGCTATTTCCAAAAGACAACTGGACTTTTCTGGTTGTTTTCTTTGAAATAGCAATAGCACTTAGCACTGAGACATATACTGCTTCACAGTGCTTTACGGCCCCCTCTAAGCAGTTTATAGTGTCAGCCTGTTGTCCCCAACAATCCGGGTCCTCATTTTACCTACCTCAGAAGGATAGAAGGCTGAGTCAACCTGGAGCCTGGTGAGATTCGAACCGCCAAACTGCTGGCAGCGGTGATCAGCACCAGTAGCCTGCTGTACTGCACTCTAACCACTGTGCCACCAAATAATTCAGTTCTCATCCAAGAAGCTTCTTGAGTTCAAGAAAGTCCAATTACCCCAAATTATGGTTTCCTTAAGTATGGTTTATTGTGTAAAGTACAAGTTCACAATTGACACTGTCAGGTTTGCAGGCTGTTCTATGCCACAAGTAAACTAAACCTAGATCTTAGTATCTGTGTGGAAGAACCCTTAATCATTTGATCCTTCTTAGCACAAGGATTGACACGTCGGCTGAAAGAAGAAACAGATGTAAATTTCTTACATTTGCTCCAAGTTGGCAGTCAGATGACCAGAATCTCTGAGATGACAGGGAAACATCTTGTAATTTTAATCTGAAAGGTTTTCAGTCCTGTGAATCTTGAGGAAACTAGCAACATGATCTCTCATCCAGCTGTAGACTGGAATTCTCCTCACCTTCTAAAAACAGAAACTAGTGGTAGTTTCTACACACTTCTAGAACTCTCCTGTCTGTCACCTTCAGTTAGCCAAAATAGTGCATTGTAGGGCAAATAATTTTTGCATCAAGATACCTCAAATGCACTAATTTAAAGAATGGGTACAAAATTCAGCACCCATTACTGCAATGAAGTTGAAATTTCAAGGATCTTCAGAACAGTTGTATTTGCAAACGTATGGCTACTGCAACAGCACCATGGTCAGCTATGGTCATGTGATCATGATTTCCAGGGCTTCCTGCCAGCTTTCCATAACCAAAGTCAATGGGGAAGCCAGCAGAAAGTCGGAAGTTGTTTCCAATGCCATCAATTTTTGGCCACTTGTGGTCATTTTATTTATCTCTTTGGATAAGCAAATATATGGCAAGGCTGGTCTAAAGGTCATAGGTTTTCTAGGGATCAATTAAACTAAAAGACTATCTGGAGAACCTGTGACTTTTTATATTCAGAATAACAGAGTTGGAAGGAACCTTGGAGGACTTCTAGTCCAACCCCTTGTTTAAGCAGGAGACCCATTATCATATCAGACAAACGGCTGTCTTGTCTGTTCTTGAAAGCCTCCAGAGTTGGGGGCAACCACAACTTCCGAAGGCAAATCATTCCACTCGTTGTTCTCACCATTTGACAATTTCTCCTTAATTCCAGGTTGCTTCTCTCCTTGATTAGTTTCCATCCATTGTTTCTTGTCTTAGCCTTCTGGTGCTTTGAAAAATAGGTTGAAACATACCCATCTTTGTGACAGCCGCTCAAATATTGGAACAATTTAATTGGAGCAATTCACTTGAATCAAATGCTATCTCTTTTAGACAGCATACTAATAGTCAAAGATCTGAAGAAATTTATTTTGGCCAGCCTGATTTGGATCTTATTTTCTAAGCGTGGCTATGCTAGATTCATCAGAGGGAGGAACTATTAGAAACATGCTTCACTTGGCTAGATCAGATCAGGATTTGGATGTTAAAAGAAAACAAGGATTTGTAAAAACATGTTTTTAAATTATAACTAGTTTACTGTCAATAATAGCTTCTTTCAAGATTTGAGTTTACACAAAAAAACATTTTGGGGCTTAGTGATTTGCATGAGCTAAGTTTTCGGAATAAATTAATGTTCGCATATGTCATCAAGAGCTAGCTGAGGTTGGAGGAAAGCAATAGTGTGAAAATTGGAACATGCAAAGTTTATTGTACCCCAAAGCCCAAAATGATCTTGTGCCATTTTCCGTATAAATGGGAGAGGCTGAGTTTTGCGAAGTAAAATGCTCCATCAGCAAATTGGGTCCTTGAATGGGGGATTTATCCATCACTTGGGATTCCCCCTCCAAAAAAAAAGATGATTAACCATTTCAGAAATCTCTTCATCAATCCAACATGTTGTGCTTGGAAAAAAAACTGTGTACAAATCAAATATGACTGCATTAAATATTGATTTCAAATTCTTCTTCTGCTTAGCTTGTATTAATGCAAAAAATGTGGGATTGAGGTCTCTGTGCAGCAATTCTGGGAAGAATGCAATGACAAGGAGGGGCAGGGAAAGCGCATGCGAAGAACAATTTGCAGTGAACTGCGCACGCGCAGTCACCAAAATGCCAGTAGCGAGGAGGCATGGCAGGCCTGGGTCGCTACAGGTTCTGCGATCCAGGCCTGAATTCTGCTACTGATTCAGCCAAACCGGGCTGAACCTGCAGTAACCCACCTCTGATGGAGACGTCTTCGGACAGCGCTGGCTCTTCGGTTTTGAAACAGAGATCAGCACCACCCCTTAGAGTGGGGAACGACTAGCACATATGTGTAGGGGGAACCTTTACCTTTCAAAAGAATAAAAAGTTCAGGGTTTGCTGAATGCCTATTATTGTTGAATAGCACTCAGTTACCAATATCTAAGGAGCTGCCAGAAAGAAGAGGGAGACAATCTATTTGCCAATTAATACCTGGAGGCAGGACAAGAAGCAATGGATGGAAACTAATCAAGGAGAGAACCAACCTATTTCAGAAGCTGAAATACACCAAGTAAATGAGATGAAGAGTGTGAAGTAGAGGAGAGAGGTAAGGGAAGAAGAGAGTGATAGGAGAGAGGCCAGGGAGGGGGGGAGAGAAATGAGGAGTGGAAAGGGGAGAGAGGAAGGGGAAGTAGAGAAGAGAATGATGACAGAGGAAAGAAAGGAGGTAGGGAGGGGAAGGAGAGGGGGAGAAGAAAGTGATGGATAAAGTACAAATATGGTGTATGGCAGGGGTGGGTTGCTAATCCCGTTCCAACCGGTTCGGTTGGAATGGGGCCGGCGGCGTCCTCGTGCACGCGCGCAGTTCACGCATGCGTCTTAG